AAATAAGACTTTCTACGTGTTATTACTTACTACACACACACACACACACACACACACGTTTATATATCTTTACAAAAAAATATAAAGCCACTTTTTTTCCTAAGATGCTTTCCTGCTGCTAAGCACATATTGTAGTCCTGTCAATATGAATTTGCCTTTTGTAAGTATCTATAACTGTATGTGTATTCTGTATTCCAAGTAATTTAGATGCTATTTATGCTATTTTATGCAGCCTGTGTGCTGCCTCAGGACTGTAGCAGAGGCATTTCACCCGCTTTATGGAGAACCTAAAAGGATTATTCATTGAGTTTAAAAAAAAAAAGGCTGCAAGATGCTTAGAACTGTAAATAAATTGCTTTGTTGTGAAGTAAGCATTTTATGGTAGTTTTCTATGTACAGAGCTAAATTCTGTTCACATATACCACTGAAACACCATTGATTTATCATATTAAATTGTATGACACACACTATGGGTCAAATTCTTTCCTTTCTTACACCCATGCAACCCCATAATGTCTATCATAAAAGAGTAAGATGCATGGAATCGATCAATTCTAGCAATATGACTAGCTAATGCACAAGGCATTAATTCTCTACATTCCAAATTAAACAGCATCTTGTATAAAAACACACACCATTGTTTGTTTTCAGTTTCAGCATATAACAGCAATAACGACCTCACTGCAGGGTATTTCCTGGAGATTAATGACAGGCGGGGGTTAATGGCCTGAGGCTCACCCAGCCAGTCCTTAATCCCCAGGAAATGTTCTGTACCTCAATCCTTAATGCTTAAGTATCCTATAAATTGTAAGTCTTTTCATAACCACATCCTTGATCTTAACAGTAGTTTAAAAACTACACAGATTGGTTTGCATCCTGAAAAGGGTGAGGGGAGCCCATAATGCCCGTAAAAGGCACATGAAATAAAACCTTTAACTCATCACTGCCTGGTCTCCATGTTATGTATTTTATTTTTCATTCCAAATTGCACCAACGAAGGAACTGTGGAATATGTGAAGGGAAAAAAAAACAGAATTTCTCTATTTAGTAACTTTTACTCCAAACCCACTGAAAAATCTCCATGTGAGAAATATACCTACTGAGTGACAGGCTTCCTTAACAAAACCTAGCCTCCAAACAACATTACTTTTTAACTGCTAATATGACAGCCTAACAACTATTGCCCTTTTAAAATTTGTAAATAGCACCATATGCTGTCACAATGATCTTGCATGGTCTGTCTCTTGGGTGCCCAGCTGGAGACATCACATGATCGGTAGACAGATGGTGGTCAGAAAAGGATCAACTGGTGACAAGTTCATTTTATTAATTTATTTTTATATACCCAGCACACCACAAGGGGTTGCATGCACATATTAATAAAAACAATACCAAATTCAATTGACTAGTTTTGAAGCCAATGACAGAGGCCCAGCAGGACAAACTTAAGGAAGTAAGAAGATGTCTCAGAAAAAAGGGTCCTTAAGCTATTGCTAGGATATTGAGTGTCTGATCTGGGACCAAATAATGATCTTGCATTTATACAGAAACCTCTATCCAAATGGACCCCAAACTGCTTTTCAGACTTTATTAAGCAATTATAGGAATTATTTTACCCTGACATTCATCCACTAGGACTCTGAAAATGTTTTGTATTATTTTTGTTGCAACCAGTCATGTATTAGACACTTTCCATAACAAAGAGAAAGATATGGTCCCTGCTTTGGAGAGTTTACAGTCTAGTTTTAGACAGGGCACAACCAGCAAGGGTAACAAACAGACGGGAGGAGGGGAGATGGAAGGGAACAAGGACAGCAGTAATAACTTCTTAGAGTGATTGTCCACATGTAGTCCACTTCTGATCTACAGGTGCCCTGTGTGCATGAGTTTGAATTATTTTAAATAACAGCATACTGGGGCCACGCCTGTGCTCCAGATGCTCTTGTGCTCCACCTCCACACACACCTGCCCGTATCTTAGGGCATAAGGGGCAGAGTGGGCCCAACCATCCCTCAGTTCCTTTTTAACCTCTTGTGGCAGCAAGATCTTACCCCCGCAGTGTCTATTTCTCTTCTAGTTACTGTTTTTTTTATTAATTAATATAGTTGTTAGTTTAGTAAAGTTTAACATGCATTAAAAAAAGAGACACTTAAAAACTTGAAGGATTTTATCCCAGTACCAGAACTTCGCTGCAGTGGCGGAATCCAAGTCTCCAGGATTCAGATCCTATCCCTTCTGTAAGGAAGCCATTCCTATTAATTATGAATATTATAAGTGCCTCTTCTGCTTGGTGAAGCACACATTCCAGATAAGTGCTTGATACGTTGCTCTTTTCATAAGAGGACACAAAAAGCGAGCAAATCCCACCTCAGGCTTTTCCTCCTGGAACACTCCATTTGAGCCTTAGGGGAAAAGACTAGACCATCTATGCTAGTGGTCCAGTAAGCTGCAGATCTACTCCAAGCTCCAAGATTTATTCTTCCTCAGAAATGCTGCACTCTTCTAACGCCTGAGTCATGAAGAGCAACGAAGACTTCATCTGCACCATCATTGGAGGAAAGTGGTAGAAAAGAGCCCCTGCAAACACAGGTGTACTTCCCTGGGACCCAGAAAATCAAAGCAGAAATCCCATCATGTATCTGTTCCTGCTCAGATTTCTCATCCAATAGGTATTTCACAGGTCCTTCTGATACTTTGGCACCATCTGGTTACCAAATAACCATGGCTGTTCTGAAGAACCTATCTGTGCCTCTATCAGTACCAATTCCTCAGCACTGATACATTCTGCGCTGACGTCCAAAGGACCCACTACGTTGATGGCTGCCACTGCGGTACAGATTTTTCTGGAGCAAGCCTTATTGATACAAAAGACCTTCATGGTAATGAGCAACTTAACAGTAACCTAATAACTGGAGTCAACCACTGCTTTCCTCATAGAGAAATTTCCTTGCTTGGCACCATCTGCAGCCAGGGCCTCAGTATACATGGAAGGCATTCCAGAGCTCCCTAGAAGAAATACATTCTCTCTTCCTTTATCTCTGAACAGGAGATGTCACCCTCCTACTCACCACACTCCCCTCCCTATGAGCCAGCTTGGTCTGACAAGGAATCTAGAGGACATTGCTATAAACACAGACATCAAGAGTCTCAAAGTTAAAGGCCTTCATGTTTTCTCCCTCCATGGCCTGCAGCTCCATATCCCTATAGCATACAGTCATACCCATTCTGGGCTCCTTGGGGCACGCAATCAAAAAGGAAGACTTATTCCATTTGCCTCACCTCTAGAGTCAAATCTCTCTCCCTTCAGATCTACTCAAGAAGGTCAACTAGTGCAATACACTTTCCATCAGCAGGAGCAAGACACTGAGCAGAAATATCTGCAAGAAACAGAGGATCAGCCCATCCCAATAGCAATATTTTCTTTTGATGAAGCAGTCACCCCAGCTGCTTCAACTCAATCAGATGAGTACTGTAGCTTCCAGGAACTCTTACAGTGAATGCAAATACCCTGAAAATGCCAGTTGAGATAGTGCAGGAAAAGTCACACAAACTTTTCAACATTTTGCATTCATCCATGTCCTGGAGATTGGCAATGCCAATAAATGAGACTTTGTTAGAGACAGCTAGAGGGAGGTTACTAGTGGAGTTCCTCAGGATCAGTCTTCAGACTAATCTTATTTAATATTTTTATTAGGGCTGTCGATTAATTGCAGTTAACGCACGCGATTAACTCAAAAATTTAATTGTGATTAAAAAAAATTATAGTGATTAATTGCAGTTTTAATTGCACCGTTAAATAATAGAATACCAATTGAAATTTATTAAATATTTTGGATGTTTTTCTACATTTTCAAATATATTGATTTCAATTAAAACACAGAATACAAAGTATAGAGTGCTCACTTTATATTATTTTTATTACAAATATTTGCACTGTAAAATAAAATAAATAGTATTTTTCAATTCACCTCATACTAGTACCATAGTGCAATCTCTTTATCATGAAAGCACTGTGACGGTGCACCCCATAAGGCTTTATGGAAGTATGC